AAGGGAAGAGTTTATTTGTTAGTATTTTTATCATTTACTGAATTTAACTAATAAGATTCTAAGAGATCAGTAATCTAATATGACAAGGAAATATGCATATCTTGATTAATAATTTAACAACATGATGAACTTAAACACCAATATAATTTTTATGAATATTAATATAATAATTTCAGAAGACAATAAGAACTAACTCAAGTGATTATATATATTTAATAATATAATTGAAAAAAATAAATATAAAAAATTTATTAATGAATAATTTTTCTATAGAAAGATTTGAAATCTTGCATGTACTGTATTAGATAAATATTTATTATATTGTAATTATAAATTTGTTTATTTAATTGAGGATTATTTAAAAAGAATTCATGTAAAAAAAAATGATCTTGTCTGAAAATAAGAAGTACAAATCATTAAAATATGATAAAGAAAGAAAATATAAAATTATCAATACAACTTCACAATTCTCATAAAGTGACTGTAAAAGAAAAATAAAAAGCAGCAAGTCATTACAATAAAAACTTTGTAATATAAAATATAAGTAATAAAAAAAATATAAATATAATTGTGAATTATATAAAGAGCCAGGTTATAATATTACAACTTGTTCAAACAAGAAGTTTGATAAGTGAGGAGAATTGATATAATGTGAGATCTTTTGATAATATGAAATTTATAAGTATAAGATATTAAATGAGTTTAATGATTTTTTGATCAATTCTTGTATTATTAAAGATATTTGATAATTAAATATAATTTGGTAATTTATACTTATAATAACAAAGAGTCTGGAAAAAAATGTATAAACTTAATATGATTCTTGTAATTCTTAAATATCTTATGTTTACAATATATTGATATATACATATTTTTGAGAATATTGAGTTTGAATAATATATTTTATTTTACAAATTTTAATCAATATTAATTATAACTATGAAATTCTATTTATTTAAGAAGTTTTTCACAAGCAAAAATTATATTTAAGAAGCAAAAATTTTATTTTTTATTTGCATTTCAATATTTTTTGCTTTTGATACTAATATAATATAAATATTTTTCTTTTAAAAATCTGCTCTCTGATATTTTTAAGATACTATTTCTTATATATTTTGATTGTATTATAATAATATGTAAGAGGTTAAATACATAAAACACTATTTATTATATATTTAGCATATAATTATATGACTTATAACTTATGTTACATAATAAGAAGTATGTTGCAATGTGAATATGTATTTTTAATAAACTTATATTTTTATTGTAGATTTTTCTATTTTAAAGAATTTGCATTTATTATATGTTGTTGACTTTATATTTTAGCTATATCACATGAATTATTTCTAATTGGCTGAATTTTTTTATGTAAAAATATATTATTGTTTTTATATAAAAATCACATAAAGCATAATACATATACATTATATATATGTTGCATTTTTATTGGCTTCATGTGACTCATACCTACATATCAAATTTCAGCTTAATTTATTTACTAATCTCCTCCAAGTTCTGATTGGATACAAGTAATTTTCATCACTGATTGGTTAACTGCACACCAAATCTTCTAAATTAACCAATAAAGATGCATAAAGTTTTGATTAACAATCCGACACAAGAAAATTAAAAAGGCGAATAATGTGACGAATGGGTAAACTGGCTCAAAGCACTAATAAAAAATGTTGGGACAATTTTATATATGATCTTCTCTCCAGTCCTAACCCTAACCCTTTAAAATATCCTCAAACGCCACCCTTCAGGCATATAAGAAACCAAAATAACATATTTAGCCGTTAAATTTGAGATTCAATAAACGTAATAACAATGAAGAAGAACGATGATGATGAAAAATAATATCAATCACTATTCTAAACTCAAATTCATGTTCTTTAAAGTAAAAAAGACAATTAATTGCTCTACCTTCTCAGTGATCTTGATTAATAATAGGGAGCTTCCTCCTTCCCCTTTCCTCGACATTATAAGTCTTTTCGATAAATATCAGGATTCAAAATGGTTATTTTTAATCCACAGAAAGATTATGAAGATCATGTGATGGTTTTATTTGGTAGTAAATAAGAATATAAACCGAAATGTCAAATGTTCATAATTAATACGCACATGTGTACATGTACAGGAATACAGTGATGATTGTGTTTACCATTTTTAAACTGGCAATGTAATACTTGAAAAAAAATTCTCTGGACAATAACGTTAACAATAAAAACGAAGCATTTAGAAATAAGCGATTGATGCCAATAAGGTATTTGAAGTGGTGTGTGCGATTTCGAATATGAATTATAGCATTACGATAAAAGACGAAGTGGAGTATATGAACAAAACAGAATAAAAGACAGTCGAACAAAACAGAATAGAATCCATTCAAAAAAAAGAAGAGTGAGTTAATTGCTAACAATGTAAGTAGAGTTTATTTATAAACTATAAGCTTCAAGTAGTATTTGTTGCGTGTCATTTTGATTCGGAATGGGCATTTGGCCATTGAAAGTGATTCCATTAACAAAGCCTAGATGTACCGGTTGTTGTGGTTGTGGTGGTTGGAGTTGTGGTGGTGGTAATTGTGGTTGTAGTTGTGGTGGTGGTAATTGTGGTAATTGTTGTAGTTGTTGGGGTGGTGGTGGTAATTGTGGTTGTAGTTGTTGGGGTGGTGGTAGTGGATTCATATTAGTGAATATGAATCTCAATAGAAAGAAAAATTGATTTTGCGGGTTTATAATTTGTCAAATTAAGTTTTAATTAAAATAAATAAATTTATAGATGAGTAGCGAGTGTGTATATGAGGGAGAGAGAGGGAAACCTACGACCTTTTTTATACTTTACAAACATGATGAACGTCACGAGTAGTGTTGGCTGGACAACCGGACCTGACAACCGGACCATGGATCTTTATAGTCCAATCAAAAATAAAGTTTTTGACTTGACAATTCCGAGTCATGAGGTATGATTTGATAATCTTGAGTCATGGGCATGTAAACAACTTTCTTTTATCATTATTTATTATTCTTCTTTACGTTTATATGTTGTTAAAACAAAAATTCTGGCATTGTTATCTCTATCTGCTCTGCTAGTATTGATCATTATTAATGATTTAGTTATCTTTTTCACACTTGAGTGTATGAAGTACGCGTGCTTTATATTTTTTTAGAAATTATTGAAAGTGTAGGATTTTATTTAAAAAGAAATACAATTTCTCGTAAGTCAAATCATGAGTAACCGTTATTTATATTTGAATTCATACAGATTAGCGGATGAAGCACGACCGGCTGTGGTGGTAGGTGGAGATTGTGATGGTATCTCGGACCGATCATTATTGCTTACAAATCTTGAATTCTGTGCACGGTTACATAAATTTTGAAACTATTCTATAAGAACAATTCTAAAATACATGATTTTTCAGTAACTTACAAATTTTAATTTGTCGATCTATTACATTGAATTCTGCAAAAATGCAGAATTTCATTGCCCTCTGCTCGTGAATTATCAGCATAATATATTTGCTCGAACCGTTACATAATTTATCTTCAGATTAAAAAAATAATGATTAAGATATAGAAAATATAAAGAAAGAGAACATTTAATGTGGCCAGAAAAATATTTAAGGTGCCATTTTTATTGAGAAAGCAATTATTTCGTTTCGCTATTATTTTATACAGTAGAGGACAGCATAAATCATCAACTCAGGTTGGATTTTTTTAAAAAGGTGTTCTATACATGAAACAAAAAATCCTCTAGCAAAATTAGTAAATTCAATTGTAGTTGGGTCAAATGGTTACAATTTAGTTAGGGGCGTGATTGTGGCTAGTTGTAACAACTAACCAATTACATAAGACGTGATAACTAGCTGACCCCACCATTGTTCATGTCAATAATGCATGCAAAGGTAGAACAATGCCTATCGCTATGGGAAAAATTGCAATAAGCATAATTCACTGAGCAGATTTTATCTTTCGTTAACTTATTAGATGTTTAGTGAACTTTCTATAATAAACAATGACAACTTAAATTTTAAAGTGCATTCATATAATTTTAGAGTACTTTTATACATACATTAAAGCTGATATTTAATAAACTTTAAATATTTTGTCTTTTTTTTATATGGATATAGGCGGTGGTAAATATAGTAAAATTACTTTATAAATGCTTCAATAATAATATTCAAATAGAATAGTGCAAGTAAGTGCGCAAATCCTTTTCATCTAAATAATGTACATTTATTTTCTATTTGTGTTATAGTTCAAATATACTATTGCTAAATGGAATACTTTTGTTGTTGATACAGTCCCCCTTGTCATCATCATCTTTTTTGGCACTTCTGAAGGTTACGCCGAAACACCCGGAAAAATTTTAATTAACGTCAAAGCTTGTTTTTTGGTTAGGGTTAGGACTGGAACCGAAATTATATGTGAAATTGTCTCTCCGACATTTTTCAAGTTTGATTTAGATATCTGTTTACCATATATTCTACATTTTTATTTTCTTGTGCCGGATTTGTTTGCCGGGTTAATCAAAAATTTGTGTATCCTTATCGGTTTATGTACGTGCCAGGTTTTGTTGATCTCGGAAAATTATACTGTAATATTAATTAACATTAAAAGGTTGGTTTAGGATTAGGGTTAGAGCTGATAGATAGATTATTCATAAAATTGCCTCATCAACGTTTTTAATTAGTACTCTAAGCTAAATTTAGGCACCTGTTTCTCTTGTGTCGGATTTGTTTTGCCGGTCTGATCAAAAAATTTTGCATTCTGGTCTATGATCGACAAAAATTTCTGATGTGCTTGGTTTATGCAATATTACGTGAGCAATTTTATCCAATTAGAGATGTATTTACCTGGGGGGAAATTAGTTCGAGTATGTTGATCTTTTAAATTGTAGGTTTAGCACCATGTTCTTTATGGTAGATTCATGTATTTACACAATAATTAACGTTAGGGAAAGATCAAATGAACATAACTAGCAAGAGAAGTTAAATAAAGAAATTATTCTTTTTTCCATACAAAAGAAGAGCTTGTGCATTTATTTCCCTTCGATTGTTTCCCACGAAGCATCATTTCCTTGATAATTAGCTTTTGCAGAGGCACCTTCAATGCAACCCAACTACGGGGAAGATTTGCAGAGTTGGCTAGTTCTTTTATAATAAGCAAGTTTAAAAGATGGAGCGCCTCTTGACTAGTCTGCACCTTTTAAGTTCAAGTTCTTCGTGGTCAAGTTTTGTTTGACAATATACTTGGCATACATCTTTTGGACTTGGTTTCCGGTTCTTTTGCTCTCCAAGCTCGCATACATCCAACATGTTTATATTCACTTGTTCCGCCATGATTATCCCGCAAACAATTATCACAGGTTCCGCAAGCATCTTCGGGAGGATCATTATTCCAGGCAGAATGCTTTGCCAACATTTGTTGTATAAAATTCTTGACAACGATAGATAATTTTGTTCTCCAAATGTGAAAATATTTACTGGAATGAATTAGCGAATTTCAGATTTTTTTGCTATTGTAGTTTTTATCTAACTTTTTCCGTGAATCAGCAATTACATTATAGATAGTCCGAATGTCTGCACGAGAAAAATATGACTGACTGTGCTGGTTTTCCGTCGCGTGCTGCACGTCCTATTTCTTATACGAGATCCAACAGAAAAGGCGAATATTTAACACATCTTTCCAAAATATACTATCAAAAATTAGCTCGCTCAAAGTTGACGGAAATGTAGTATGGATAATCAATCGAACGTCCTTGAATTAATGCCCAATACAAAAGCATTTGTAGCAATCATTCCTTGGATTAGACCTTTTTTCCATTCCTTCATTTGTTGGGCTGATGCTTTGCCGTTTAATTTTTCGTGATAGACACCCATTGTTTTTGCAATTCCCTTTTCGTATAAATCTGCTAATGTTTCTTCACATGCACATATTGTTGAACAATAAATAATGTGCAACCACTTTCTACTTAAGTCAAAAGTTCGACAATTTCTAACATAACTTTCCTCTGTACTCCTGATGCGTACTTCTATAGTAATCTCGGGTCGAGAAACAATTTACTATAACATCCAACGGATTTAGTTGAAGGTTTTCAATTATTTTTACTGTGTTATCCTCACCAATTACAAACAATAAAAGATTTCTTTCTGCTAGACGACGTAGTATCGTGGTAAAAGATTGATTTCGTATAAAAGTCTCCGCAGTGACATATATGACTTTGTAAGTTGAAAAAATCTTTTCTAGATAATTAGGAGAATGTTCTTCACTCGGACATGCCGGCATTTATTATTTTCAACTAATAAAGTAAGATATCATTAGAACGTGATCACATGATCTTTGAAAGTTTTTTCTACTTACTACTTGATCGTTGATAAGGGATCTTAAAGGACTAATTACGATTATTATTCCTCCTCGCAATAATGTTGAAACCAAATAGTATATTGGTTTTCTCCACCTGCCCGAGTAATCACCATAGTATCTTTCCTGCAAGAAAATTAGTAATGGTGAGTCATTAGGTAATAAGAATCAATCTAATTATAACAACTTCAATATTAACCAATCACATATCCAGAATCTTAACCCTACTCCTAACTCAGGTCCTAATTAGTCAATTAAAACGCGGTTGTTATAAATACATTTATTCTTTTTAATCAACGCATTTTTCCGACAAAAATAATAATATCGGGAAAAGAATGACAGGCTTGACATTTCATCAATTTTGGAAAATCAAAGATTCTAAATAAAAAATATCAAACTTTAATTCTTTAATAAAACGAAGTCCTTTTGTTCTCTCACCTTACTCCAATCAAAAGTCTCCAAATTCTGTTTATGAGATGTAATCGTTTCTACACGCATCTGATTTCGTTATTTGAATTTCGTTTATTTTGACCGTTTTGTTTTAGAGTATTT